GAGTAGCAGAGGCTTTAGGAGGGGCTGGGTCTGATTCCCAGGGACACACAGAGAGAGAGAGAGAGATCGACCCCAGGGAGCCAAGTGCAGATGGGTCTGGAAATGGGAGGTTTCAGCATCAGCCAGCCACCTGACAGCCATGGAGAGCCGCTGCTCTCTGCATACTGCCTGAGCCCTGTTGGGCTACCCTTCACCGGGACATGTCCCAACAGAGCGTGCTTCGACCACGGTTTTGCAACTCACCCGCGGGGGCGATCCCAGCAAGGCTGCACTCGATCGCTTGGAAGGGCAGGCTCAGGAAATCGCTCCTGGCGGAAAAGAAGCGGCGGAACCACCATGAACAGTGATACAACCGTAGCGCCCCCCCGCTGGCGAAATCGATCGGGTCTGCCCTGCTAAATCGTGTCTCTGAGGTGCAGCAGGGATCTTCACACCCTAGCGTGGGATCCCTTTGCCCATCCTCACCCTTCACATCCAAGGATCTCCCAACTGCCAATAGCTGTTAACTCGGGCATCCAACCCCTTTGAGACAGGAGCGCGCAGCGTTTTATAAAAACCAAGGTGCAAATCGGGGGAGGCCTCCTAGCCTAAGTCCCACAGCAAATCAGTGGCAAGAATGCAACCCAGGAGTCCTGCTCCATCCCCTGCCTTCACCTACACACTCCTTTTCACCACCCTCCCCGCTGCACGTACCGCAACGCTCGCAGCGCCTCCAGCGGGGCTTCCCCGTTGTCCCCAAAGTCGACGAAATAAAGATCCAAGTTGCCGTTCTCCAGAGTCCCCAGGACTCGGGCCCGGTACCAGGCGCTGTGACCAGTGTACGGGGCAGCCACGATGTCGCCTACTCGGACATTCGGGAATTCAGGCTGGTGAGACAAAAGGAGGAGGACATAAGAACAGCCAGACTGGGTCAGACCAAAGGTCCATCCAGCCCAGTATCCTGTCTGCCGACAGCGGGCAATGCCAGGTGCCCCAGAGGGAGTGAACTGAACATGGAATGATCAAGCGATCTCTCTCCTGCCATCCATCTCCACCCTCTGACAAACAGGCTAGGGACACCATTCCTTACGCATCCCGGCTAATAGCCATTAACGGACTCAACCTCCATGAATTTATCTAGTGCTCTTTTAAACCCTGTTATAGTCCTAGCCTGCACAACCTCCTTAGGCAAGGAGTTCCACAGGTTGACTGTGCGCAGCATGAAGAAGAACTTCCTTTTATTTGTTTTAAACCTGCTGCCCATTAATTTCATGTGGTGGCCCCTAGTTCTTATATTACGGGAACAAGTAAATGACTTTTCCTTATTCACTTTCTCCACACGACTCATGATTTTATAGACCTCTCTCATATCCCCCTGTAGTCTCCTCTTGTCCAAACTGAAAAGTCCTAGTCTCTTTAATCTCTCTTCCTATGGAACCCGTTCCAAACCCGATATTTTTGTTGCCCTTTTCTGAACCTTTTCCAATGCCGATAGATCTTTTTTGAGACGAGGAGACCACATCTGTACGCGGTATTCAAGATGTGGGCGTGCCATGGATTTAGATCGAGAATATCTCATTGCCCTGTCTTGTTCTCTATCCCTTTTTTAATGATTCCTAACATCCTGTGTGCTTTGTTGACTGCCGCTGCAGGCTGCGTGGATGTTTTCAGTAGGAGTAGGGAGTCACATGCACAGGATCTCGGGACTAGCATGGGCCGAGGGAGGAGGATTAACTCCTCTTTGAGGAGCAGGCATGGGGATGAGACCCCACTCTGCTCAGCTGTGCCAGGCTGACCCAGCTGTCACGCCCCACGGCAAAGGCTCACCGAGCAGCTGCTGCTCTCGTAGTACTGGGACATCTCGCAGGTCAGCTTGTCGAGCTGCAGGCTGCGGGACCCGACGATCTGAACCCAGAAGTGGCTGGGGTTCTCTGAGGCCGAGACGTAAACCTCCAGGTGTTCGTCCGCGTGGAAGCTGAAGTCAGGGCTGGGGACTAAGAGACACACGCAGCCTCGGGCAAGAGGGGACGGGGAGGTCCAGGGCGACATAGAAATCCTGGCATGGGATGCTGATCTAGCTAGACCAGTGCTCCCCAACTTTTTGGGGCTGTCAGGTGCCCGGGGTGGGGGCTGCTCATGCGCTGGGCGCAAGAATGGCTCGGGCTGGCCCTGGTCACTAGGTGGGTGCCATGGCGCCCACGGGCACCACGTCGGGGACCACTGAGCTAGACGGATGGGGGCAGAGGGGAATGACATTTCACAAGCTGAGAGCTCTGAGGAAGGAGCCTCCCAGGTGGATCGGCGTGCAGGGTGCTGGAGTGGCGTGGTACTGCCGTGCCTTAGAGGACACAGCGGGAGCAGCCAGCTCGGCTGCCTCCCATTCCAGCAGCTCAGTGCAAGCCCGGCTGTGCCCAGCACTCCCACGAGGAAGGCTCACGGTGCCCCAAGTGGCATGCGGGCCCGGTGGCTAGCACAGCTGCTGTGACAACTCAGGGCCTCGATGCCAGGGAAAGGGCGACCCCAGGTACCCACAGGCTGCTGCTGCGTCACACGCGGCCCCAGGAAGCCCCCGTCCTTTGCTCTTTACAGCGTCTCCTCTCCAGGAAAGACTCTTTGCAAACACCCAGCCTCCTACCCAACAGAGAGGGAAACCGAGACACGGAGCAGGAAGGGCGCTGCTCGAAGACCAGCAAGTCCTTTGCAAAGCTAGGAAGAGCGCCCAGGAGTCCTAGCTCTCACCCGCCAGCCTACGCCCAGGCAGGGCAAGGGCAGCAACCCCATTGGCTGCAATCACACCCCCTGCATTTGAGCCAGTCCTGGAGAAAAGACAGCCCACTCACCTTCGAACATGGGCACTGATTGGCTGGCCTCCATCACCAGCTCCTCCGGGGAGCTGCTCTCCGCTCGGAGCTCCTGCGGTTCATCTAAGGCTTCGTTAGCCAGCTGCCCATCTCCATCCCCTGCCCCTTGCTGAGGGCTCGCCAGCTGGCTGCGGGCCTCGCCACAGGGACGTGGCAGCACCTCCTGCTGCCCAGGATCCTCTCTTCTCACGCCCAAGGGCTGCTTGCGCAGGCACCGGGTGGCCGCCGCCTGGGCCAGTTTCTTTCGAAACACGTCATCCTCCGAAAGCTTTTCCAGGATCAGTTGCTTTGGGAGAGGAAGGGAGAGAAGGGTGCTTGGGGTAGAGCCACCAGCCTGTGAGGAAGGAGAACCTGACACAGGGTAACCCTGAGATTCTGACAGCATGGGAACCTCTTGCCTCAGTTTCCCCATCATTCGCCCCCAACTTAGGTCCTCTCCTCCTTCCTACAGGTCTCCTCTGCACATGCCTTCCTGCAGTTCGGCAGCATTCCCCTGCATTAACCTGTCCTCCGAGCCCATCCCTGGCAGCCCTCAGCTCTCCGCTCTCCTTCAGGCTGTTCCTCTCTCTCTCTCTCTCTGTCTCCCCCCTTTTATGGGCGTAGGCAGCCTTCTCTCAAGCCAGACCACGAAGCAGCAGTCACCTGAGACCCACCTTGGCCGCATTCACCTCCTTGCGGGTCCCGGAGAGGCTGATGAGGCGGGTCAGACACAGGGCGTTGTCGGTCTCCCTGTCACACTCCACTTTGGCTCCCGAGCTGCGGCAGATGGCTCGCACGGTCTCCCCGCCCCTGCCTGAGGAGCAGAGAGAACGAGGCTATTTGCCAGGCGGCAGCAAGAGAGGAACGACAGAGCACACAGCCGGAGACAGAGCTTTGAGGGGAACCTGCCCGCCCCAGGCCCCAGGTCAGTCTCACGACCAGAACACAAGCGCCGCCAGAAATGTCAGTTTCGGCTGCTCTGCTCCAAGCAGATGTGTTCCGCCAAGGAGGAATGGCTGCGGGAGCCCAGAGGCTGCAGTGATGGGCATCGCCCTAAGAGCGTAGGCAGATCCAGCTGCTCTTTGGCAAGGTGTGGTTGCTGCTCAGGATATGTGAGCTCTACAATCAAAGCCCCACAGCAGTAAGTCTCAGCGCCCAGGTCCAATGGCTCAGGCTTGTGCTCTACAGCCGAACGCGGACGTTCCGAGGTCCCGGCTGGAGACTAGGCCCTGAAGTCCTCCGACTCCAGTCGGCACCAATGTCTACACTGCTGGTTTTAGCTCTGCAGCGTGAGCCTGAGTTGGCCAACCAAGGCTCTGAGACTTGCAGCCGGG